ATTTGAAATTAACAAAAAGTTATGCTTAATTTGCTACTGAAACTTCATGTTCCATTAACTTTCTCGAAATTAGATAAAAAAATCAACAAAAACCGTTCAATTATCAAAAAAAAATGCGATAAACTCTCCCACCCACTGGATAATTACCCCAAAATGTACATTCCCGATGTTAAATAGTTAATCTCAACGCCTGAGGGACAACACGCAAGAATTTCTCCTCTCGATCCCCAGAGAGGTGGAAATTATCCCTGAAATATTGAGGCGCACTCTACTATATTTATCTTCGTTGTCAGGTCCTAATGGTCTACTGTTGAGATAACTATAAAGTTCATGAAGAACTTTGAGGGATGATCAATTGATTTTTTTGGATTCAACTTAATAAATTACGCTCCCAATCAATTAGCCCGCTGATAGTGGGTATTTCGAAATAAACGAACTACTTTTGTGCTTCAGTGCTAGAGTTTTTAAAGACCACGTGAAAAATCAAGCAATCTATAAATTGAATGCTATATCTGAGTTCGAAGGGCAGCGATAACACCCTCCGCTCGTGTGTTTGGTGTTATTGAACCCACACACGTGTAAACCCATTTGTGGGGTTCAGTTGTCGGGAGGTTGGAATAGATGTGTCGTATTCACAAGAATTTCGACAAATTTTCCAAGTTGTAAATAAATTTCAGGGAGATTATTTTTTTAATTGAAAAAAGATGACCCATTTGCCGAAGCTCATTTTCGTGATGTTTTCGAAACTATTGCGTCCACATTTCGTGAGAGAACATCAAAGAGAAAACATTCAATTCAATAAATTATGCTTCTAATCAATTAGCGAACTGATAGTAGATAGTTCGAGATAGACCGACTACTTTTGTGCCTCAGTACTTGGAGTTCTTAAAGACCATGTGAAAAATCAAGCAATCTATAAATTGAATGCTATATCTGAGTTCGAAGGGCAGCGATAATACCCTCCACTCGTGTGTTGGTGTTATTGAACCCACATACGTGTAAACACAATTGTGGGGTTGAGTTGTCGGGGAGTTTGGATAGATGTGTCGTGGTCATAAGAATCCACTAGGTTGAACGTAGTAACGGAGACGCTCTCCCACTCTTCCCCATTCCGCGCGTTATCTCCAAGGGGTAGTTGGGGTGGCCATTAATTCATCTGGCCGTTGATTGCCTTCCCCATTGCTGTACCACAGACCACTCCGCACTTTTCTAATTAATTTCTAACCCGAGGTCAGTCTATTATTCTCCCCGCTATATCTTTCTTACGTTCCGAAAGAAAACGTGCGGGTCTGAATTTTTTATATTTTCTGTCGAGGGCTCATACGTTTCAGCTGGAATAAAACATATCTGTTAATATGGTTACGGATCACATGAGAGAGTCCATTTGACAGCGAATGAAGAGATAAAAAGGAAAAGTACATTGTACACAAAAGAGTATCGCCGCGGGTGCAAGAGGACCAACGTGGTAATCTTGGTGCTGAATTGTTATTATTTTTTTTTTTTTTGTTTCTCTCGGAGTCGACTCTCCAACACTAGGCAGCCAGGTTAAGTGCCATTATGTAGAGTATACAAGAGTTCGCCTTAGACTATGGGTGCCACGGTGGTTGTAATAAAGCCCCCGTGGCCGATGGTGGGCAGACTTTGGGTCATTGTCATGCAAATGTGTCTAATCGGCCGAGCCAGTCGACCATATGTCCGTTGGGCCTGGGTTGAAAACGCATGCGAGATTGCGAGTCGAGAGAAATGAGGCGGGTAAGGTGGATCGCACAATTATCGAAGTAATGATAATTAACGGTCACTGTTGAGAAAAAAATTCCTGATTTTCTGAATTTTAATTTTCCATTTTTAAACAAAAAAATTCAAGTTCAGTAAAATTCCACGAAAATATTGTAAATATTTTCTACTAGAGCAGTGGAATAAAATTCTTAGGGGTAAGTTTTACTAGAAATTGTTTTCCATGCATAAATCCAAAGTGTAACGCATACTCATCACTCCTCATGCAACACGAAAGCCCATCTACAATTTAAGTTTTATCTGCTGTACCCCACTGTGTAACCCATTCGAGCATTATTGCGTACTAATGACCATCGCGGATACGCTTAGTTAACCATTATGTTATTTTGAATCGCTCATTTCATGAGTGCCAGTACCTCCGGTTTTCTATACGATTGGTATGTTGACTCGGTAATGCTCGATCGCGTGATCGATGGGTGCTCCCTCCGTCATGTATTTCAGTTCACATGGAATAAGAATCCGTATCACTAAAATGGAGGGAATAATCTTGGATTTTAATGAGTAAGAACATCAATTTGTTCCAGATTTTAATAATTTTCGTGTTTAAATGCAGTCTTCATCCCTCATTATCATTATTTTGGACTATTCTGATATGTAAAGTTCAGTTTGATTAAATTAGGGTATCCACCGCCGATTAATTTGCATCTAAACTGACACAAAATACACGAATAATAATTTTAGTACCTCAAAATTATGACTCTTGTATTTTTATAACCGTCCTGAAGTGTCTCGTATCGAACAAAAACAAGAGTTTATTGTTATAAAGTCAGCCAGTCAAGTGTACATTTTAACTAGACGTGGCAGTTGGTACGCGAGGAAATCCAGGGACCAAAAACTCTAGACGCATTATATTTAGACTCGATTATTTATGATTACGATTATTTCGGTCGGCTTTTCGAGGCGGTTTATTGAATGTTTAGCATGTGCCCCGTGCACGCTAATTCTGAAACGCTTCACTCATATAACTTCACTCGTGCGATCACTAGTTGAGGATTATACTAGTGCCGTTGGAAGCACTCGCACACTAATAACTTCTTATTAATCTCCGGGGTTTATTACAATGTGTGATGGTGATGAGACAGCCGTGATTATTTTTGGAGAAACAAAAATACAGCTTAACAAATGATTTCATGCAATAACACACCCGCGCATTCAGCGTGACACTCGGAGCCATCAAGACCATTTTACCTGGCGTTACAAACCCATTAAATTATCTCGGTAATCTCGCACAATCGCGTGAAAGGTACCTGAGTACTTCGGGCGTTTTTCCAATTAGTAGGCAACAAGCGTCTGGCACTCATGAAAACCAATCCCATTCTCATTCCTGATTTCTTATGTGTTATTGTTTGAGAAATAATTTGCCACGACTGTATTGCAATTGGGGAAGAATCTGGTGATTCAAGAATAAATTCCCGGGAAATTGTATAGCTAATTGGAAAAAGACTGTAATATATCAGACACGACCAAGTGCACGGACAATGAAATTTTTTTTTTAAATTACACCAGACGTTTTGTAGTGTAAAAGCTAAAAAATTCAGTGATAATTCCCAACAGATCTTTCTCTTCTTAAAAACCAAAAACCTCTCCAATCCAGACCAATATTTTCAATCCGGCATTTATACCCCAGCTCCAGAAGAATGTCAAATCACTTTGCCCCGACCTCTCGAGAAAAATAAACATTCCCCCCCACCCCTATATCCGACAACCGTGCATGACGTCACCGCGTTCATTTAATGAGTACCCCGAATGCGAGTCAATCAGTGTACCCAGTGAACAGCCTCAAACCTCGAAAAAAAAGAGTGATCGAAGTTTAGAGAGCACCGAGGCGCGAAGATACACGAGGACTTAGACATATGGGCGACAGGGAGATGCTCCGAGTTCTCATCCCGCAGCCGGCAATCGCGATAGCTAAAACGCAGTGGTGCTCCTAGAGTTGAGACACTGGTGCAAGTGAGAGAATCAACACACCACCAACAGCGAGAAGGGAGACGAGGATATATCGTCGTACTGTCGCGGCAAACGGTGGGGGTGTTGGGAGGGAGATTGGAGCCTGAGAGAGAAGGCGCGAGTGGGCGAGCGAGAAGGGGAGTGAGGTAGTACCGTGTTGGACGCTGGACGAGGCGCACGCTCCCTGCGAAACTGCACCACGCGGTTTTCACGCGCTGTATTTATCATTGAAATGGTTAAACAGTGTTCCGCGGATTGAAGAGAGTTATTTCATTGGAATTGAGTTGAAAATTGACGGGATTGAGTGGTCGATCAACTGTGAGTCACCGGGAGGGGTATCGCGGAAGTGGTTGACCACTGGGGTGGAGGTACTGGAGATCGAGTAGACGATCGGTTGGATTGAGGTGATGATAACTCAGATGATGGTGTGAAAAATACCGAGAACTAGTTGTGAGGAGAGCACGTTTTCACTCGACTTGTCACGGCAATTTACGGTAGGTCTAGGTTTTTGTGATAAAAAACGTTGTGTTTTGAAAATAAAGTGACGAGAGGGACGGAGAGACCCGAGAGCCGCCGACACCGAGGGACTTCGTGACGTCGGGCCGCTCTGATTGGCTCCCGCGAGAAGGAAGTGGTTACACACGGTAAGACACGGAGGATCGGGCCACGTGTGTCAAACCGCCTGTGGAAAAGTCGTGAGGGCAGAGTACATTGTATATCTTGTTCAAAGGGGTTTAGGTTCACGAAAAAAATGCCATGGGTTTATTGCTGAGATTTGTGACTTTGTGAAGTGGAAAATGTTTGCTATCATTACGTGTTGTACGTGCACACTACCATGGAAGTTTCAAGTTTAAAACGAGTGGTGGAGGTTTACTTCCGGGGAGTTGGTGAAGTGCATTACCCTTTGCCAATGTATCATCACTTTTTTTTCACGTAAATTGGTATAAAATAATGAGTCAATAAATCTGTTTTCCTCAAAAACTCGTCGATTGCGTCGTATTCGAGAGATTATAATTCTCGGATTGAAACAAAATCCGTTGACAAGTGAATGATGAAAAAAAGTGTTTACGATTTCTTACTCGACCATGGAAAAAAGTGTCCTGAGGGGTAACAAAACAGCAATCACCAGCGGGAGAAACTCACGCATGCAAAGTTTATTCTCGACAAGAAATATTTAATAGCTGAAACAAATGGCCGTCTGCTTTCAGAGTGCAATAATTTTGTCCAGTTAAACTCATAAAGAAACACAAGATAAGAACAAAATATTGAAAAAAAATCTGAAACTTGGCGAATGGTCAACAAATACCAGAATTTAAAAACTCAATGGATCGCTCTCGGTATGTATCCGTCTCTTTTTACTTTAACCACTCGAACGAAAAATAAACAGTCATGATGTCACTATCAAGAATTTCACCTTCAAAATATAATAATAGAATTCATATTTAACTGTTGTAACTCCTGATTCAAAAAAAAAAATTGCTTAAATACTTCAGGATTGTTAATCACGATCAAATATCCCCAGATAACAAACCGCTCACTGATTTTCGAATGAAGCAAGACACAGTCCGTGCCGATTCTCTCGAAATTACGAGGTATCTCAATGCGGGCCGATAAAAAAGCCCAAGATTGGGGAGTGAGAAAAGACGAACGGAGGAAAAAAAACTGAGCCAAAGTGAAGAAAAAAAAAATTGTGGCTCATCTGCCAGGCGAAATGTGCTGAGGAGAAGAAAGCAATTCCAAGGATGGTAACGAACTCGCCGCGAGAGTCTTTATTTTTTTTCCCCATCTTCACCTTCACTGCATTTTTTTACTCTCCTCAGCAGCCTGCCACCCCCTTCAGGAGTATTCTTCGAGACCGAGTGTAAATGATTTTATTGCCAGGATCGTTATAAACCTGACGAATATAACGATGATATTTAACGACTAGACTATCGGTGGAGCTCTCTTCTCGCATTACCCCTACGGTGAATCGAGTGATTTACGTGTGAATGCCCGAGCAGGGGGAGAAGAGGGAGGGGAGGGGGATTGGATAGCCATGCAAGTCTGCCTCACACGTTGTTGGACGCAACTAGTCTTATATGGCGCCTTTGGTTATTGTACTGCAATGTCACTGAATAATAATAGTACATCGATTTTCTTCTGGCTTACAGCACACAATCGGCTACTTCCTAACCGCCTACACTGTTGGTGGTTTTTTTTACATTTAAGTGACAGCTGCATGTGAATTCTCAATGTGTGATTTTGCATTCGACTCGAGATTAAGTCGTTTATGAAATTTTTGATTTATTTTGGGAATTTAAGAAACTTGGGAATTTCTAAGTTACTTGAATGTTTAACCATAACATAACTATTCAGCGCCAAACTGCAATGAATTTTAAATTAATTATAAATGGAAGAATATATTTCCCTGAATTTTTCAGATTCCTATCAATTCTCGTAACTTATTTGAACTGAAATTTACAGTTTTCATTTTTTTTGTCATCGAATTGTGAATTTTCGATGATGAAATTCCTCGAAATTTCAGCCATGACAGGTCATTTTTTGCAGTGCAATAATTTTTTTGAAACTCAAATGGGAAAAACCCCTCTTTTGTCTTACATTTTTTACTCATTCCCATATTGTCCGACTAATTTCTCCATATTTTTTTCCTGCATGCACTATTATAATATCTCGTGACACTACAACTTTGGCATTTTCCCCCGGCATTAACCTTCTCGATGATTCAATGACGCAAATAGGTGGATGGAGTGATCCCAGTGTTATCCATAATGCCGTAATTGTCTGGTAATTAACACCACGTTGTGTATACACAGAGCCTGCCGTCACCTCATCGAGATTGCTATCGGGTTCGCATGGACAGTGGCAATAAAACATCGGACAATTCACATTTTAGATTTTTGTCTGGTGCATTAGTGCGTCAATATAAAAAATTCTTTATTCTCTAAATCTGATAAATGTTTGTGCGCACGAGGGATTGTAAGGAGACATTTTAATGGGTAAATTTATGCTACTTGGGGTAATGAATTTATTGGCATTTGACAATGGAAAATGCAATGAAAAAAATTATTGGATGGGAGACAATGGCCGAACAATTTAGCGGTTGATGAAAAGTATTCTTGGGAGGAGTATTGAATGAAATGTAGAAACCCTCGCGTGGTGTATCTATCTGTAGTCCAATCAAGGGTGTTGGATAATTACTTGTTCGCTGGGTGCATGCAAAATAGAACATGACGTTGGTGACGATTCAATGGAGCAAAATATTTGAATAAAAATGAAAGAGAGGCCAAAACGACTGTTCATTTCAACAATATTTTCGTTGAAATTGATGAATTAATATTTGTACTTCAATGAGAATATTTCAATTATACGAAATTTTACGAACAGTTGACGAGTAATTTTTAGTAGAGTGAGATTGAATTCAATTTAGCGAGAAACATATCATGAAATTTCAGATTCCACAAAAAATTCAATGAAATGAATAAAAACGTAAATGAAAATCAAGTCTAAATTTGCATACATGTAAGCTGTTTGATACCATTGGTAATATTAAATTGGCCGTGACTATTCGCACCATTGCGTGAATCACTCCCGTACACTCCATACACTCCACGCATGCGTGAAGTTTGTGTGTTTCACGCAGCCGAATTTTCATACTGCTGTGTATTTCACGCAGTTGAAGTTTCATACTACTGTGTGTTTCACGGATGTCACTGATTTCAGAGATGTCAGACAAGATATGAATGGTTTTTGGGCTCAAATGAAAGAGCGGATCGAGGAATGGCGTGCTGATGCCTCTATAGATGGCTTTGAACCAGGGGAGACTCCTAGACTCCAATGTTCTATACATACTCCTAGACCCCATTCTCCTCCTAGACACTGCTTTTCAGTTGAAAACAGACATCATCTTTAGAGACAATTGTCATCTTTAAAAACTTCTGCACGCCATTCTTCGAGCCGCTCTTTCATTTGAGCCAAAAAAAACACACCCACACAGGCGTATCAAAATGCAACTGCGTGAAACACACAGGTGTATANACCATTGCGTGAGTCACTCCCGTACACTCCATACACTCCACGCATGCGTGAAGTTTGTGTGTTTCACGCAGCCGAATTTTCATACTGCTGTGTATTTCACGCAGTTGAAGTTTCATACTACTGTGTGTTTCACTGATGTCACTGATTTNAATCACTCCCGTACACTCCATACACTCCACGCATGCGTGAAGTTTGTGTGCTTCACGCAGCCGAATTTTCATACTGCTGTGTATTTC